AGCAGAAAAGAATCATACTTCTAACTCTGATCTATACCTGCTTCTTCCACATTTAAAGGATCCTCGTGATTTCATTGGGCCCAGACAGATAATCCAGGATAATCTCCTGTTAGGATCAAATGATTAGCAATCTTGCTTCCTTCTGCACCCCTAATTCCCCCATGCCACAGAACAGAAAACCATCATAGGTGTGAAGAAGAAAGGAAGTGCAAGAAGTTGAGGGTGATGGTAAAGAGAGAGGTTGTCCTGACCTATCAACCCTACGTAGAAGAGATCACCTACACAAGAAGAGTTTATCCAATAGTTATCTTTTAATGGAGGCATCAAGGTTCTGGCGATTTTCCTAAGGTATAAGAAGTGTGTTTCTGTTAACTATTGCTGCATTAAAAAAAATAATAATAATAAGTCATTGTTCTAAGATGCTTCCTTTTCTGGCTTCACCTGTACTCATTCATACAGCTACATTCAGCTGGAGGGTCAGCTAGGTGAGGAAATCATGGATGCTCTCACATTATCTGGCATTTGGTAGCAGCTATTAGCCAGGTTGTCTGAGTTGTTCTCAATATGATTTTCAGTCTCTGCTAGGCTGTGCCTTTTTCTTTACATGGAGGCCCAAGGGTGGTACTTCAAGAACATAAAAGTAGAAGTGCAGGGTGTCTGGAAACCTACACTTTGGACCTCTCACAGCACCACCTCCACCATGTTCTTCTGGGCAAGGTAGCCAATAGGGCTAAAACAAGTTCAAGAAGACAGGAAATGGAACACATGCTGATGGGAGTTGCTGTAGTACCTCATTTCATGTTGTACTGGCTATAAAGACAGGAGTCTTGCTCTGAGAATAAGATTTTGAAATTTGATATTTGGGAGGTAAAATGCTTCTGGGTAACAATAGTATCCAATGCATGGCCAAACAGATAAATGCTTTAAGCAGAGTGTGGCAAAGATCATTAGCACTGAAGAAACTGTGAGACTGGGCTGTGGGATGCATCATCAGGTAGATACATTAAGAACACTGAATTGGCAGCGAATGGGAAGGAGTGGCCTAAGGGGCAGGAGATGACACTAATAACGGGGAAGGAATGGGCTTACTACCCTCACAATGTGATTCTGAAGACCTTGAAGATCATGATCATACATGTCTAAGTCTGCCTTGTGGGTGGTGACAAGCCAGCAACCCAGAGCAGTGACCTCCCAGAGCCAGTTTACCCAGACCTCACTTCCCAACCTCCACATTCCTCCACAATGATTTCTTCACCTGCCAGTTTTCAAATAGAGGTACATCTTCTGACATCCAGACCGTGTGTAGGTAGACTCTTCAGGGTGCATTTTAACTCTTGGTTCTGAGTATTTGTTCAAGTATGAAAGGAAGTTGAAGTTGGTTTGGAATAAGTACATGACAAAGTTGCCATAATAACAGGTTACCAGCATTTGTTCTTTCACACTTTTTCTTTTTTTCTATTTTTCTTTTTCCCCAGGTTTACATATAAAGGTGAAATGGTATCCATATAGACTAGCAGGATTTATGGTGGTGACATCTATTAACTATGTTAAATGAATAATATTTATTCCTCTCATTCTATGTAAATAAAAATGATAGAGCAGAGTCATTATCCAGATGGTCCTAAGAGCTCACTCAACCAGGAGAGTGGTAGATATGAGTGAATTAGAGCCTATAACATGTAGAGAAGGATAGAATTGCATATTTTTATAATTACTACCATAATTAATATTTGTTTTTGTGTAACAGATGAACAACTGATTTATAACAATGTAAGTTTAGCATGAGTTTACAACCTTGGCTATGACTTTATATTGTTAAAATGCTTTTTTAGATTGCCACACAAAGACATGTCTATCCCAAATAAAAGAATGTCATTATTTGGAAATTCACCAGTGCTTCCTGGAAATTCTGCATCTGCAGTGAGTGATCTGGGCTGTGGAAATTTAATTCCGCCCTGCCTTTTATTCTCCCTTACCTGTTATCCTCCAGGCACATGGTAGCACCTGTTGCGCTCAAGTTGGTCTTGAGCAGATTGCAGGGACTGAAGACCCACAGATGTTTTTCTCACCTTTGACATAAAAATTATTTTTATTTTGTAATTCATAAAGCACATGTGAAAATGAGTGCAGTAACGATAGTTTTTGTAATAATAGCTATAACTGAAAACTTTAGTCTTCTGTAAAAGCTGCATGACTGTTCCATCAATGCCTTGGTGATTCAAAGTATTTGGGGAATCCTTCTTTGGGGGCTGCTGATAGAGCTAATTGATAAGCCAGCCAGAATTTCAGTTTTGATTAAATCCAAACATTCCTCCAAATTTTAGGAAATGAGTCTCTGGATTGTCTAGCTACTAAAAAAAGTCAAATTCATCCCTCCCCTCAAAAAAGCTAAGATTTTCTACCACTTAGGGTGTTCAAAATAATGTACCTCAGGTTCCAAAGTTGTGGGTCTCCAAATGGAAACTGTTTTACTGATTTAGGCTACCCCAAAGAAATATCCCAAGTAATTCATCAAAGAGCGTTAAAAAATGTTACCATTTTAATTCTGGAATCTAGAAATTTCCCCATAAAGATGTTTTAACTTGCCTTTCCAACTCAATTATCTTTTGGTTTACTATGACCTCCCCTCTACCCCTCCCCAGCCACCCAAAACTAGTTCTTTTTTCCTTGCTTAGAGTAAGCTATGCTCCATCTTACATTTTTGTTCTTTGGTTTTCATTGAGTTAGCTCTTCGAAAATTTATCATTATTTATAAATCTTTGTCATTATCAGGTCTGTGAGTTTGCATCTAATTCTGGCTTCCCACCTGAGTCAATTTTGTTGTCATCTAAAAACATTCATCTTCAGCATCATGATTATAATTTTTGAGGCCATCAATGTGTTGGGTACTGCATCAGGGACCTAAAACATCAGTTTAGTTAATCCTCACAAAAACCTGGGCAATGGAAATTATTATAATTCCCACTTAGCAGATAGAGAGGATGAGGCCCAGAAAGTATGACTTGCCCAAATCAAATGACTGGAATATGGAATAGCTGTAATTCAAACTGACATCCATTTGGGGCAGGGTTTCTCACCCCAAGCACTATGACACCGGAGGTCAGATGATTCTTAGTTGCGGAGGGCTGTCCTGCACACTGAGGTACATTTAGCAGTATCAGCTTTGGCCTCTACCCTCTAGAAGTCAGTAGCTTTTAATGTAACTCTTCTTATTGTGACAACCAAAAATGTCTCTAAATATTGCTTACATTCTCTGGAAGTATTTGAGAAATATGATCTAATGTAGATTCATGCTTTTTCACATTATGCTATTACAACAGGTAACTAAAAATACCATAAAATGTTAAAGAAGATCAACTTTAGGAGTCACCATACCTGGCTGATCATCAGAATTGGAGATTTTTTTGACCTTCCCTACTCAAAATGTTTAGAAAAAAGCATTGCCAGGCAGACCACAAATATCTATTTTAAGCCTCTTCATGGCATAGGAACCATAGATCAAATCCTAACCTAACCACACATCTGTTCCTTGAATCACTGTAGTCCATTCCTACCAAATCGCTCACCAGCCTTGGGTTTAACACCTCCTATGATGGTTTGAAGGTTGACAATTTCATACCCTTCACTTCCTGGAATGATTCTATCTTCCAGGATAGCCCTTAACTATGAAAAAGTGTTCTTAATATTCTTCCTTATATCTCTCCATCTATGTCCTTATCACCCAAATTACCATTTTTTTCACCTATCAGTTGAATTAAACCCTTATTGAGTCCCAGTTTTGTATGAGGGTCTTCACTACCTTGACCAGTAAAATCATTATCAACTGCTTGGTGCTGGTGGCTCACACTTATAATCCTAACTACTCAGGAGGCAGAGATCAGGAGGATCGCAGTTCGAAGCCAGCCTGGGAAAATAGTTTGCAAGACCATATCTCAGAAAAAACCCATCACAGAAAAGGGCTGGTGGCATAGCTAAAGGTGTAGGCCCTGAGTTCAAGCCCCACAAAAAAATCATTATTAATTCTTCTAAAATGAACATCTAAAAGTTTTCTAAGTTTAATAAGAGACTTCCTCAAAAGGGCAGTTGCAACTCATTAAAATCTTACAATCTTAGAAGTGTGGTCTATGCAGCTGCTCCCAGTGTATGGAGGGCCTGTCCCTAGGAAAGCTCAGCTACAGCAGATTTTCCTCCTCCTCTTCTTTTTCCTCCTGTTCCTCATAAGCACACACTCACCAACCTCTTTTAGCTTTCTTTGGTGATTTCAAGATTACGAGTGGCTCCTTTTCCTGTTAAAATCATTCTTTACCATATTCCAGATTCCTTGAAGAAAATAGAGAACGGAAAGCAATTTTTTAAAATTTTGTTAAGAATATCTTTTTTTTACTTTATTAACATCAATAAATAAATGAGTAAACACAAGTTACTTTGGTTAATGTATCAAGATTCAGACTTATAGTTTAGTCCTCCTTAAAGTCAGGCAGTCTTTTGGCCTATGCATTTGAGTCTCCTCTGTGTGACTATGATAATTTTGTACTTTTAGAAAAGTGCTTCTCAACAATAGATGTTAGAAGATCACAATGGGGTGGACACTAACATTGCCGAGGCAACCAATGCCCCAGTCAAATGTTAACCCTACAAGTGACCAGCCAACATGAGTAGCTAGTAAGCTATAAATGTGTTCCAGCTGTCTTGATGGTGCCTGGATGGATCTGCAGTAGGCAGGTTATGTTTAGAGAAAACCAAGGAGAAAATAACACGTTAACCAGAATAAACTGTTTGAGGTCAAAATAACAGTCCATTGTTTTTGTTCTTGTATGAGATATAAAAAGAATGCCTGCATTTCAATTAGGCTTCATATGAACTTCCAAACTTCTTGCCTGTGCTTGCACACCTCCAAGGAGCTGGCTGGACAAAGGCAAAACTGTGCTGAGCTGCCCCCATCTTAGATTGCCCTGGAAAGTCTCCATGTCTCTAATGTGGCGCCCATCCCCTTTTTACAGAGTTTTATAAATGGACACTGACATGGACTACGAAAGACCCAACGTTGAAACCATCAAGTGTGTGGTTGTGGGCGACAACGCAGTGGGGAAGACGCGTCTGATCTGTGCCAGAGCATGCAACACCACGCTGACGCAATACCAGCTTCTGGCCACCCACGTACCAACTGTGTGGGCAATTGACCAATACCGTGTCTGCCAGGAGGTAAGATGCACAGGGTGTCTTTAGAATCTTTAGGCCATCACTGCTGCTTGCTGGTCTGATTAGCATATGAGGAGGAGTGGGATGGCTAAATTGCACACAAAACAAAACTGATCTTTTTAGTGTGATGGGAGAACATAAAAGCAAAGTGCAAACTTGGGAATATGGCTATTTTACCCTGGATGAGTTTGAGGCAAGTGATTCCAGGAAGTGAGTTAGGACTTATTCCTGTTAGAAAGAATAAGGGAAGTAAAGACAAGTAGTTTGGAGGACACTGAGGGATATAGAGTTGAACTTACTTCCCCTGGGGAGTCTCTGATTATTAACCTTGCGCATGGATTCTCATCTCTTCTGCAGGTCTTAGAGCGATCCCGGGATGTTGTTGATGAAGTAAGCGTTTCTCTCAGACTTTGGGATACTTTTGGTGATCATCACAAAGACAGGCGTTTTGCATATGGCAGGTAAACTAAGACTAGTGTGTCATGCTTGAAGCCTGATTACAATTTCCTTTCCAAAGCCAGCAGTTTAAAAAAAAAAAAAAAAACAGCAGCTGGTTCACAAAACAACAAAAACCACATCATATGGCCCTGAAATGTGTTGGGTTCTGCTGTTGTCTAAGAAAAGAATAAAAAGAACAATATGGTTTCCTGATGTCAAGAAAAGCAGAGTTTGCCTGACCACTCAGGAAGTCCCTGTTTGAAACAGCCCATGCTAGTTAAGCTGGAAAGTTTACTGGACAGATGAGGATTCTGTCCTGCCCTCCAGCCTTAGGCCACTTTGATTGCTGTTTTCCTGAGTGATACTTCATTTGCCTTCTTTTGGAATGTTTCAAGTTACTTTAGCACTTGGCCACCTACTTCAGAAGGTCTCTTTGGTCTTTCATGACCATATTAGCAGAGTTTTGTATTATTTGCCTTGGGCTTTGTGTTATCAGAAAAGTCTCTTATTTTTATTTGAAGGTCATTTTTAAAAAGAAAGAAAAATATCTCTGAAGTCCTCCAACAAGGCATATTTCCAAAATGAACAGAAGCACTAATGTCTATTTTTCATTTTTAAAAAAAGAGAAAGAAAATCCAGCAAAGGGAAAATTAGACTAGAAAGACACTAACATGGGTAGGAACATAATCAAAGGGCCTTAAAATATTTAGCAACTTCTCCTTGTCACCATGAAGTATCGTTCAGTGAATGGCTTACAGCCATTAAAACCCAGAAAAAGTAAATTTTTCTTTAGTCCTTAATTATGAATTAATGCATTTGAATTTTAAGTTTAGAATTTAGGCATCATGACTTAGCTGCCCCTTCCTAAGATCAAACACCATGTTACCTCACAAGATTAGGTTAGCTATACAAGCACCTGAGTTACTCCTCAGTAATGAAATAAGCATTTTGAAAAGTTTCCCTATTTCTTAAAGTCGGCAGCTTTCTGAACAAACTTTTATAGATGTTTATCTAAGTGGAATGAAGTGCTGAACGCATTTGCACTGCTCCTCTTTCACACACAGAGAGAACCTGTAACATAGACCAGTTTGCTGAAGGTGACTCAAAAGGAGGCATATGGAAGCAAAGTATGACTTTCATGTCCCCTTTGTAACAAGGACTTTTTAACTTAATATCCTGGCATCATGGATACTTTCCTTCTCCTTATATGTCCTAGGTTTTTTGTTGTTGCTATTTTTTCTTTCCATAATATTCTTGATTGTTATCTTAGTTGCCAGTTCAGTTTTTTCTTTTATCAGGTGGGTCTCCATATAAGAAAAAAAAAAAAACTAACTAATGAACCTGCTTATAAGTACTGTATAGTGAGATTTGTATTATCTGTGGCATGATTTTAAAATTATGTCTTTGAGCAATGTAAGGACAGATGCAATAGATGTCAAAGAACTTTTTTTTACCTACTTCTGACAAAATGTCATGCAAAGATGAGGCTAAAGATAAGCTCATGGAGGTATTTGGGTTTACACTCTACTATTTCAACTGGTTTGTAGACACTTGAAATTTATAAATTTAAAACAGCAAATTTAAATGTAGCCCCCATGTAAAACTTGCAGTGGTGACAAAAAAGCTGCTTTCTTATCATGGGATTCCTGCTTAGGGTTTAATGAGGCCATGGCCCTCACAGACCTACACTAGGTCTCCTCCAGCTCCCTAATATAGGTGGAATCATTTTACAACGTGCCATGCTTGTGTTTGTTCACGCCCAACAAAAATAAGCTGTTCTTTCCTGTGACCCCATCAGTTCAAAGTGCATTGTTCTGGCCCCCTGTCTATAATGTTTGGTTCCATCTACGGTAACTTGTTCCTCATTGGGTGAAAACAGGAAGTGCTCCCAAGCCAAGTCTAATTCTCTGAGCAACACAAAGTGGCTTCAGGAAACACTCCTGTGTTTCTGTTCCCATTCCCCTTGTGACCTCACTTTATGTGCTTATTTGTAGCTTGTATTTTCTCCCCTGTCCCTTCCAATTCTCCACAGCTTCCAGGCATCCTGCCACAGACCCCACTGCTAGTAAAGAAGAAAACCCAGAGCTACTTTGTCTTGGTCTCCAGCATGGAAATGGTTGTGTAATGCCACAGTCACAAAGCACCAAAAAGTTATGCTTTGTAAGGAAATATGGTAGCAGTAGGAGTTTCTTTTATTCAATATAGAGCTTTTCGCTGGTCCTTTGCATTGCTGGGAGAGAGTTGTTTAATATTTTAATGACTTCCATTTTTCACTTTATATCTATCATTTGTGAAGGGGAAAAATTATAATTACAGTTTCTGACAATCAATTTGGTTTACAGACCTGTTTTTTTTTTTACTAACATTTTTACTATACTTGGTGTAAATTATAAGTCAGAGGGATGCACAACAGTCATAACCTTTGAGGCATGTGGAATAGTCCAAGGTATTTGGAGCCCTTTTAAAATACTTAATTAGATTTCTGTGGTGACAGTGAGAGAAACCAGACTCATACCAAGATGCCCCAGACCTCATTGTCAGTTTCCTTCTTTGCACAAAGGAAGTTCACAAGTTGTCCCTTCAGCATTCCTAGGCATGGAAAAGCTCTGGTTTCCAGAGTACTCCTATGGGTCAAATGAGTATGAGTGGTAGGCAGTCTGCCAACTTGAATTTGAAATGTTTCTAGCATGGTTTAACCATAATCAGAATCTCATTGCTTTCTTCATGACATAAAGGCAACTATTCAACCCATTTTTTCAGTCAACTAGAATAATAATTCCAATGTATCAGAGGCCTACAATATGCCAGACCACATATCAGGAACTTTGCCAGCATTAGTTTGGCTCATCTCTTAAGACAATCTTTCCTCTGGCATAACTTGCCCAGTCTTGACTCTCACAAGCAGATTCACACCCAGCTCTTCCTGACTCGTGGCTTTTTCCATTGTGCCCAGTTATTTCCACCTCATTTTAAACAGCATGCAACTGAACACTGCCCTCATCAGCAAGCTGGATTGCTGTTTGCTCTTCTATATTTATGGAAAGGCTTAGAATTAGAGCAATGTCAAAGTTCATCTGGGTGACCCTTTTCCTTCAGAAAAGGAAGTCACCCAACCAGCTAAGAAAAAGTGCGGGTAGGAATCCTTCCATTGGAGAGATCTGAAAGGGAGCAGTGTAGTGTCAGCGTTCTGGCACTCTGCACATCCCAGATCTGCTAGACCCTCTGTTCTTGGGAGTGAAGGCCCCAACTCTCTTTGTAAACTTTCCTCCCACCTCATACATTCCATCCACTTTTGGATGAACTTTTGAAGCTCTTCTCTGGATCTTTTTAAATGTCAAGAACAAAACTGTACATAGTAACTATGACTCCGATCAGCTGCTCTTTTTTTTGGCAAGGAAAGAGCCTCTTCTTAAAGGGATACTGCTCAACTGGGCATTTTTCCCTGGAAGACTTTTGAAAATGAAAGGTTCATGCTGTGGTACCTGTCACTGAAAAGGTAGATAAACAGGGTGGGCCGTGCCTTCAGCAGGACACCAAGGACCCTCAGCCCCTCTCTTATAATCACACAACAGGTTAATAATTACAGATTTTATTATTTCCTCTCCTTGAAACCTCCTTCACTGATCTATCTCGAGGTCTTTTAACCTTCAGAAACTTGATAGAGCCAATGATCTGAAAGTGGTGACAACAGCTACAATTTAATCAAGACGCCCTCCTGAGCCAGGCCTGTAATAGTGCTGGGCACTCTACGAATCCTGTTCCACTTCATTCTCATGGTGACCCTGCAAAGTAGGCACATTTCACAGTTGAGAAAACAGGCACAGAAAAAGCCAAGGTCAGACCTCTGGGACAGGGGTGAAGCTAAGCTTCCTTTTGGGTCTATTCAACTCCAAAGCCCATATCCTCCCATTCTACCATGCTATGATTCTGTATGGCTGATGGTGATGACTGATGACAAGCTCACTTGAAATTTCCTCCTGGTACGTTGCAGTCTAAGTCTTGCACTACCCTATGTGGACCAGAGACCAGCATTCACCTCCTCTTTCTAGCTCAGATATTTTAGTGTTTTTCTTAATTTCTTTCATCCACAGCAAATAACCTAAATATTTACATGCATTCATAAGTAGCTAAATATGAGTCATGTTCAGTAAAAATGACACATCCAAGCAAAGTTTTTTAGAGTAAATTGGAACCTTGGGTAATTCTTTGGCATGTTTTCCCCAAAACATTTAAGTAAAAGATAGCCATTATGCTTTCCCTATTCCCAACAGTTTCTGGGCATATTTTCAGTCTGGTTGGAACCAATTTATTATATAGTTCATTTTTGCATACCAGTTTTTTTTCAAATGTTTTGGCTCCTATGAGGAGTACAGTTCATGTTTTAAGTGATAACATTAATCAGAGCTGTGGCTTTCTATGTGCCTGTTTCGATAAGACAGGTTTGGTTTCATGTTGAAAGCCTGGGTAATCAAATATTGCATAAACACACCCCATTTTGAATGCTTAGTTGAGGCCCTTTAAAAAAATTCAAGACCACAGGTGACCAGTGTCTGTGTCTTTGTCTGTACTTGTGGTTAATGGCAAGGGGAAAAGTAAAATACAATGAATACGTCTAGACAAAGTATTTTAAGTTAGCTCTTATAGTTCATAGCATATTCTAAATGCTGGGCCAAAAGTAGCATTCTAATGATGATTTCAGGATGGCAAATAGCCTGTTAATACCATGAGATACATCAGTGGGAGGCAGACCAAAGCCAGGGCATGTGAGTCTGTCGCCTTAGGCTTAAAATGTAAATAATAATAATTTTTAAAAGACAGGATCATTATTATTGTTTGTTTTTTCCCTTCTGCCCCAGGCTCAGTATGGCACTATTACTGATCTTGACTTTGTTTTAAATGTTGCTATTTTGTGCATCATGGATTTTTTGGCTAAATTTCTATGTTTGTAAATATATTATTCAGCTGGGTCACTGAGTTTCTTGGTCCCTCCTTACATTTTGCACCCAAGGCAACCACTTCACTG